TTTGGACTGCACCTCACCTCTCCTGGATCCCTTAACCAATCCCTTTGCTTGCTGTAAGTTTACCCAAAATAAACCTCTTTGGACTAGCAAATAAACTACGTAGAATTGTCTCATTAATTTCCACTACAGTAGAGAAATTCTCATTGTGCTTCCTAGATTTTCATTACTTTGACCATTTGAAATGGAAAAATACACAAACTAGGGGTAAAGATCCAATCCCAACGTTCTCCTTAGGAGTTTCTCACAAATGTATCATGTATACCTCATTAAAAAAAAGATTGGCTGGAGAGATGGCTCAGAGGTTAAGAGCACTGACTTCCAGAGGTCCTGAGTTCAATTCCCAGCAACCACATGGTGGCTCACAACCATCCGTAATGAGATCTGGTGCCCTCTTCTGGCCTGCAAACATACATGCAAGCAGAACACTATACATAATAAATAAATCTTTAAATATATAAATAAATAAGATCAAAAAGATCAGTCTAGATTTGCTTGTCCCTTATCCCACCTGCTGAAAACCCATGTTTTGACTTCCATGCAGTGTCTAACTCAATGGGCATCTATCTGATGGCGAGACATCCTTCCAGCTAAATTCTACACTGGTTAAGAGCTGTCTGGAGCCAGGCAATGGTGGCACAAACTTGTAATCCCAGAAGTTAAGGAAGAAGTATGGCAAGTTCAAAGCCATCATGGCTATACGGTGAACCACAGTCTCAGAAAGAAAAAAATGGCAAACTGTTTCTCAAATGTGACTGTTTTATTTTGCCTAAGCCTTCACTAAACAATTTATATGATTTTTTTTTTCAAAATAATCTCATATTACTTATGAATTCCACTCTTGGCAGTCTGCACAAAACAAATAATTCCATCCCAAACTAGTCCTTAGGTCCTACAGTGGCTCACCAATAATTCCAGTACCCAGGAGACTGAGGCAGGAAGACTACTTCTAGCTTACAGCCAGTGTGGACTACAAAATAACAAAAACAAGAGGCAGGATGTGGTAGCACATGCCTGTGACCCAGCACGTGGGAAGTAGTAGTAGCAGGATCAAAGGAGTTCAAAGCAGGAGTTCAAAGTCATCCTTAACCCCACAGTGAGTTTGAGGCCAACCTGGATGTCATGAAACCCTGTCTCTGACAACAAAAGGCAATCCCACATCCTAGCTTCAGTCCTGGAGAGTAACCACAGAGCATGCTCAGTTAGAATCCCAGTCCCATGAAGACAAGTTTTTACTTCTGTTGATAGTTTATGATTTGTACCTGTTTATAACTTAAGTATTCTATAAAGAGAAAGTGAGAAACAAACCAGTAAGTCAGTTCATGCCTAGTGTGTCTCCCTAACTCAACTGCATCTAAATCGCAAGTTTCAGAATTTGCATTGAGTCATTCTGAATGAGCACCATCTGAGCATACAAGACAGAAGTCTAGAGAGAAACAAAAAACAGGAGAGATTAGCTGAGTCTAGTAGCATCAGCAATAAATGGTGGCTTTGTTTAAACAAAGATATTATTAAGAGAATGAAAGTCGTGAGGTGGTGGCGCATGCCTTTGATGCCAGCACTCAGGAAGCAGAGGCAGGCAGATCTCTGTGAATTAGAGGCCAGCCTGATCTATAAAGAAAGTTACAGGACAGTCATGGCTACACAGAGAAACCCTGTCTCAAAAAATTTTAAAAAGGGTAGGTTATTATATTTATTATCCTAGAATGTAGAACTCATGGCAGATACCAGTTACCTATACAGTGACATTGCACTAGAGAAATCAAACAGCCAACGTGCCTTATTTCATACTTGCACCTCCACTGCTTAGCCCTCTTCTCAAGTACAATAGGTGTTCAATAAGTTAATACAGTGCATGTACTACTCCCATTTAACAGCCATGAGCACACACACAAAATCTGCCATCACAAATTTAAAATCTGAAGCCAAGGGATGGATCCAAGCCAACATGTACATTATATCATATCATCTACCTAAGAAATACATAATTATTATTCCATTCTTCCTAATTGTTTTTCCAGCATTGTGTGGCTTTTCAAAGATAAACATCCTCAGGAGCTAGTTTCTCCAAATGCTACAGCTGCAGCATCACAATTTCTTTACAAGAATCTGAGGCGGGAGCATGCAGAGGGCACTAGCTCAAGGTAGCTAGTGACTGGCTGACCCACCTGGACTCCAGTGCAGTTTGTGGTTCCAGGAGCTGAGGCAACCATCTTTTCAGATGAGGGGATAAAATATCATTTAAACCCAATCAGCAAATTGCCTTCATATTTTTGAGTCAGTTTTCAGGTTACAGCCCAAAACTTGGATCTGACAGACTCTGACTAAGGCGCTTCTCCTATCAGTGTCTAACTTTCTGTTTCTGATCCCTTTTGTTAGTAACACCTACTGGGCATGTACCAGACATTGTATGAGGTTCTATCTCTTGAGTATGGAAAACCAATTTGCAATAGAAACTTTTATTCTCACTATTTCATATATGAGAAACTGCTGAGTGGATATTTTCAGTATTAATTACATGGCTTTTAGAGGCAAAATGAAAAGCAGTGTCACAGCTCGGTAAGTACTCCTCTCTTCCACTACAGGAAAGCTGCTGCTACCTGGAACTTGTCTTTGAAGATCTTCCCTCAGACATCAACTCTTCTGTGAAGTCTCCAAACCAACCTTCATATATTCCAAAGGTAACACACTCATGTGAGAAAAAAAAAAAAATCCCTTAAAATAAAAATTATACTGGGAGCCCAGAGACAGGTCAGTGGCACTTGCCACCAAGCCTAATGACCTAGTTCAAACTCCAGGATCCACATGATAAAAGGAGAAAGCTGACTCCCTCAAGCCATCATTGAACAGCATCCAAGCCACACAAGTGTTATGGTGCATACAAATGCATGTATGCACATGTGCAAACAATATAAACAAGTGTAACTTAACAAATTATACCAATACACCTGGTGATGGTGACAAATGTCTTTAATCCCAGCACTTAGGAGGCAGAGGCAGGTGGATCTCTGTGAGTTCAAGGCCAGACTGGTCTACAGAGTGAGATCCAGGACAGACACCAAAACTACACAGAGAACCCTGTCTCAAAATAATCAATCAATAAATAAATTATACAAATGTAAACATGCATGTCTCCCAACCCAAAGAAAGGCTCAAATGAATCAAAGGACCTCGTGTTTGGAAGACGCAGGACATACTTCTTAAACATATATTAAAAGTAAAGTACAATTTAAATAAATTGGACTATTAGTTTAAGGTTGGAACTGAAGTTACATAGCATAAGTGACTGTAATGTTCTAATTCTATCTCATTTATAAGCGAAAACCATGAACCACACATACTATCTCCTACTTGCTGCTATGCAGCTGTGGCAAACTCTGAGTGCTTCCCTAACCACAAACCTGAAAGTTACCTTTGGGGCTCTCTTACCATCCCACACGCAAGTTCAGCACAGCATCCAGTCACTTTTCTTAATGCTTTCCCATTTTCTCCATTAGAACGTAAATGCCAAGAGACTAAGGCCATCGCACCATCTATCACTACACCCTAAAGCTTCATACAAAACCTAGTAAGTACCACCCAAAATAATGTAATGCTCATGGAACCGAGGACGCCTCCTTGCGCAAATTTAAAACTGGGGAAATAAGAGCCAATACCGGACTATTGGCCATGTCCAACATTTTCCAACTTTTTATTAATTCATTTTCCCACGTGTGATGTACTTTGTTACTAATCTCATAATAAAAAATGTGGGGCACACGCCTTTAATTCCAGCACTCGAGAAGCAGAGCCAGGTGGATCTCTGTGAGTTCGAGGCCAGCCTGGTCTACAGAGCAAGATCCAGGTCAGGCACCAAAACTACATACAGAAACCCTGTCTCAAAAAAAATAAAACAAAACAAAAATGTGGGGAGGGCCGGCAAAAAGGCTCAGCCGGTAAAAGTGAACCCAAATATATAAACTCACGGCCCACACAGACAGACACACAGACAGACAGACACAGACACACACACACTCACGGTAATATTTTTATAGGCCCAAGGAATATTAACTACAAGCTCATTAATAGCATATATTGAATTCAAGATGCTAGCGTACAAGAGCATCTAATCAGTTCCAGAATTACCTGCAGTCTTTCCAAATGAAATTTCACAGGAACAAAAATTCCCATCAAAACACAGCTTAAACAGAGAAGCCCAGGCACAAGCCATCTGAGTAATTTCAGGCGCCCATCCCCATCTTCTTTCTCGATATTGTCTTCCCTGTCCCCATTTCTCCACACAGCCAGGACACTTGGGTGCCGATCCAGAAATCTCATCGAACTCCTGATACCCCATTTCCAGTAAAACTTTCCCCAACTCAGAGAACACTCGGGAGCCATGCAGCCACACAACCCTCGTGCTTGGGCTGCCTCCCCCTCACGCAATCCATCCTCGAGGGAGAACTTTTCTCCTGGGATTCACGTCTCAAACATCAAGTCGTTTTAACGCCGCTCCCCCCCCACCCCCACCACCACCACCACCACGTCCCAGTTACCTAGGTGCTGTGGGCCGCAGAAAGATCCCCAAGTCTGGGCGTCCCGGCTCTCTCCCCTCCCACCGGCTCCGCGGCGTCCGGCAGATGCCGGGTTCCAAACCGCGGAGCTGCGGGGCGCACAAAAGCCTCCCCCACCCCCCCGGACGGCCCTCTTGGGGCTGCTCCCGGCCTGCGCTCCCCCCCTCCCCAACACCCCCCCCCGAGGCCGGGCCACGCCCGCTGTGCGGCGGGAAGACGGGATGCTCCGCCGGGCCGGCCGCTCGCTGACCCCGACCCCACCCACGCCCCACCCACGCCGGCCACCCCAAGGTTGGACCCTCGCCCGGCCCAAAAGCCCAAGAGCATCCTGGATGGAGCCCGAGTCCTAGGGTCCCAGGCCGTATCCCAGTGGGGCCCCGCCGTCCCGGCCCGGTACCCCGTCGTCGTCGTCGTCCCCCTCGCCCCCCACCGCGCCCGACCCGCACTCACAGGCTGCCGGAGCAGGAGGTGCACACGAACGAGCCGACCGTCATGTTCACGTAGGTGGGGCCGCGCTGGTCGCAGTCGAAGCACTTGCGGTTGTGCGGCAGCCCCGTCATGTCCCGCAGCATCTTCAGGTGCTTCTCCTCCTGCTTCCGCTTCGCGCTGGCCGCCATGGCCGCGGCTCCGACCGAGGAGGCCGGCAGGGCCGGGGAGCCGGCGGCGCTGCCG